GGTTCTTGAACTACTCATTGTTTTTTTCTTTTCCCTTTGTTACTCTGGTTCAAGGAAAGGGATGCCCAGGGGCTGGAGTTTCTGCTAGATTGTTATCAGAGCTTTATCGTAGTATTTAAAAGCAATCACTGTGATTAGATTTTACTGATACCATCTTTTACATAAGAAATGCAAATTCTTAACGCAGGCACAGAAGTCTGTGCTGCAAGACCAGTTTCTTTGCTTGTTTGTTATAGTGAACACAGACCAGTCAGGAAACTGCATAATTCTGTGATCGTAGTACACAGTGCAGCATCTTTTGTCATCCAGCTGCTCCTGCAGCTGCACAAAACAAGGTAGATGTTTCAGGATCAGAAAATTCCTCTGTTTTACTTTCATTAGGACATCACTTTTGCTAGCATTCTGATATTTGTTGTTCCTTGTTAAGACCATGTTTGTTCTTGTTAATTAATTTGTTCTTGTTTAACTAAGAACATTTGTTATTCTTCAATTAGGAACTTTTTATAAAGACATACACATCATGGGTTATTTTTTCATCCTTTTAATAATAATAATGATGATGATTAAAAAAACCTTGTTGCAATTACTTTTCCATTTATTATCATGGCGGATTTTTACAAAGGGATTTACCAAGCAGATTTCTGGAGCTCGAGAGAGTGGCCTGTGCATGTCATGGCACATGCACAGTGAACATAGATCACACACACGCAGGGAAAACAAGGCACTGCTAAGACTGTACAAGTGATAAACCACCAGGAGGTTGCTGAGACATCAAAAACAGCTTCTCCACGGCGGCCTAGAGCCGCGCGTGGCCGTGGGGCTCCGAGCCTGGCAGCCCTGGCGTGTCCCTCTTGCCGTAGGTGTTGGAGCCCACGTTGGTGGGGGGATACAGGGCGCCCACGCTGCCGCTGGAGCGCACCAGGAAATCGGCCAGGCGCTGGGTCACGCACGTGGCCGTGTTGCATTTCCTCTTCTGCACCTGGTGCCTGCCAAGGTGGGGCAGAGACAGAGCCAAGGTTAAGCCAAACCATGACCAACAGAATATTGTACTTGCGTTTCCCCCAGGCGAAGTGTGAAAAATGCGTGTTTTATGATGGCTTTTCGCAAACATTAAAAAATTAGTATTATACGTGTTATGTTAGAAAGTTGTGCTGTATTAACATTTTAACAGTATGGTAAGTGTAGTTTCACAGTTAAAAGGTAACTTTTGTAGTTAAAATAGGAACTATGTATATGGAATATTTTATTTGTAGAAAGGAATGAGGCTCCCAGTGGATGGTGGCTGCAGGACACCTAAATCTTTCAGAGAAAGAGAATGTATTGCACTTTTATCAGGAGAAAGAAACTTCTTCCTGCCTTGTTCAGTCAAAAAGATGCCATTAGGATTAAGAGAAGAAGTTGATGATTACCAGACAAAGTCCTGTGTTTGAATGGAATTTATGTATCATATATGAGGTGTATGAATATGCAACAGGCAATTGTTTTTAAGGGTTAATCCTCTGTTAAAAAGTGTCCTTTTTCAGGCTTGTGTTGCCCAGGAAAAGGTACCCATATGTCTGTATCTCTTTGTTTTTATTGTCTCATATTGTCCTAATCTCAATTGTTCAAATTATATTACTATTGTTATAACCATTTTATTACAATGAAACTTTTAAAAAATTTTAAAAACAAGTGATTGGTGTTTTTCACACCAAAGAAGGAACGATGAATCTGACTCCATGTTCTCAGAAGGCTAATTAATTAAGAAACTATATTATATTAAAGAATGCTATACTAAATAATACAGAAAGGATACTTACAGAAGGCTAAAAGATAATAATGAAAACTCGTGACTCTTAACAGAGCCTCGACACAGCTGGATCCTTATTGGCCAATAAGTCAAAACAATTCACATGAAACCAATGAAACCATCACCAGTTGCATAAAAAAATCTCTAAACACATTTCACATGTGAGCCCACCACAGGAGAAGCAAATGGGATAAGAATTTGTTTTCCTTTTTCTCTGAGGCTTCTCAGCTTCCCAGGAGAAAATCCTGGGCAAGGGATTTTTCAGAAAATATGAATGTGACAACCAAGTGTGGCGCTCCTCAGAGCCACTTCAGCTCTGCTAATGTGGGAGTTCTTTTAGTGTGTGCACAAATACAGGAACATTAGAATCTTCCCACCACCTACTTTGTGCCTGAAAAAAATCCTTGTGCTGGGTGCTATTATCAGCTTTAATGATGGGGCTTATTCAAATGCAGAGACCTGAACAGTCATATGTCGTTTTTATTGATATCCTGCACAGCAGTTTGTGACACCAGAAAACCTGTAATGATAGTATAGGTAAGACACTAAGTGAAAGCAATGACTAAATGTTTAACTTTCAGCTGAACTTCTAAATCTATTTAGAGCTCTTGCTGATATCATGAGGATTACTAACACAATGATGATCACTAGCATTCATTTAGTTCTCGTGCTTGCACAGAATCATCTCCTGCTCTCACTGGAGTGACAGGTAATATTCCAGTCCACACCACGGGGGCTGAACCCCCGAGCTTTCTCCCCTCTGCACCACACCTCATCAGAGGCAGCAGTACCCCTTAGGATGCTCTTTAGCCCTGTCTCTCTAGCACTAAGCTCTGACCAAACTGCCACATCTTTTTTGGAACACCAGCAGCTTGGAAGTTCTGTCGTGAGAGATAATCCTTTGCTGAATGGTACTTTGAAATAATGTTCAAGGAGGAATCTGTATTTAAAAGTAACATCTTATGATCTGTACCAACAGACCATTTACAGTACTCCATGTGAAATTTATGTAGCATGAGTGCTGTTTTTTTAATAGTAATAAAATGGTTAGCTTGAGAGAGCTTGGGTTTTAAGATTTGTTCCTGAGACTGCTGTGTTGCTCCTTCAGACAGAAATGCTTGCTTGCTGAGATTGCCTACTGAGTTATTGCTTATTTTCTTGGATTTCTTCATGCTGATATGGCATGAGTTAGACACCACTTTGTGGCTCAAATTTACTGTGAAGAGCAACACTATCCCAGTTTCAAATTCTGAGCAGTTACCAATAAGTTCCTTTGCTTACTGATTATTAAAACTATCAGCTGAAATGTCATATAAACTTTGAAGCTATTTGTATTGATCTGAGAATCCAAGTAGAAGAGCAGCTGTGAAAGGAATGTCTGTATTACACTGGTTCTTCATTAGTAGATATGCAGCAATTTTTTAGCAATTAATATTTTAAATGTGTAATTGCATTAAAAGAAAATTGTTGGACAGGGGCTTTATATAACCTCTCATTGACTTTCATGGGTGTTTCTACTGGTTTCAATCAAGCCTTTAACATACAAGGTTCAAAGAGCAGCTGGTTCTCCCAGAACTCCTGCTTTGTTTGTGGAGGCAGAATTCTCTTTTCCATTAAAGCTACAAAATCAAGTTGAAAACTCCAGCCCTTACTGGAGCTGCTGGGTTTCTATCTCATGCCCAGGAAAGCAGATAAGGCACACCACACCCCTCAAGGTGATGCCTTGTGTTTGAATATTACAGTTATTTTGGAGGAGTTGTATTTATTTTTTAAGTGATAGCTGTAAAAATGTGAGAACTTCGTCTCTGTTCTAAAAATACTTTGGAAGGTATAAAATTTGTCACGTAATAGTATTTTTAACATATATATTCAAAGAGAGAGGAACAGGCAACTATATATACATATGTATTTATTGAAGTGATCTGTAACAGAATTGTCATTGAAAGAAATTCACTCAAAAGCCTGACCAAACTAGATGAGCTTCAAGCTCTCTTCCCACCTTGGTGATTCTGTGAAAAGTGGAATAGTTCAGTGCTGCTTATCTTTTAGTACAAATTGCTAATAAATCTTGAAATGGTTTTTATTCATTAAAAAGTTGCCTGAAATTGAACTTATGAATTTGTAAATTAGAATATGTTTCAGACAAGTGAAATTCCATCAGAACCAATATTTTCTTTTCCTTCTTCCTGTGATTAAATTAATATTTAATTCTGTGATTTTAAAATTGCTTAATTACTGAAAGCATTTATTCTATAAAATAATTCCATTCTAGCAGAGCAGTAGTATTGTTAAGAAGGGTATGTTTTCTTTTTTTTTTTTTCCTCTTCAGGCTTGGAAATCTGACAAATTTTTAAAAAGGGAGGCACTTACAGAATACACCTTTCTCCTCAAGGTAATGTACTCTTTGCAGCCTTTGTAATTTATGAAAGTGTTATAATTGCAAAGTGATTAAATGATTTGTAACTTTGTCCCTGGATTTCACTTTCTACTCTGAATGCTTTGATCTTTATGTTACAGAAAAGCTGATCTTTATGCTTACAGGCAAACTCTATTTAGTAGAAGGATATTTTAATCTCTTTTTTTTGAGAAAAACAGCTGAAGTCTCTCAGGTAGCAGGATACCACTGGAACAAAGTTTGCTCCATGGTTCAGTCTGATATGGCTGGAAGAAACAAGGGAAAATCAATACCTTTTTGTCTTTGCTGCTGGTTGTTCTGGCATTTCCTCACTAAGTCCTGAGAGTGTATTCTGTGACATTGCAGGCAACATCCATCCTTGTCTCTTGGAAGCACCATCAGATAGATCATCAGCCACAGACAGTAATCTTTGAACAACAATAAAACACGGAGCTTGAATAACTCTATTTTTATAACATTTGAAATATGAAAGCAAAAGCAACTCATGCAATAATGTGAATACCCTTTTCCCTAAAGAGAAATAAACATGATTGTTTGTTACTCACCTCTCAATAGGTGTAGCTTCCAAACAGCTCAGAGCGACAGAAAGTGCAATGAAGAAAACTGGCAGCTTTAGGTTGCACATCTTTCCTGCCAAACTTTCTGCAAAGAGCAATGATTCAAAACTGAAAGCTAACCCAAATACTCCTCAGCATATCCTGTTATTGATGCCCATTCTGTCCTAAATCAAGAGCAGCTAGTCTTTTTCACAGGCTGGAGAGAGAAAAATGATCCCCTCAAGTTTAGTGACACAACTCATTTTCAGGAATATAGCTCTCAGTAGTAAATGCTCATTTTCCATCCAGCAGTTTCAATCCTATTCCTTAGCTCTGGTTTGCATTTCCTCACACATCCCAGTCTCAAATTCTGGTCGCCAGTGCAGTTTACCTTAAAGTTGTCTTAGCCTTTTCCTGAAAATGCTCTTGATTAATAATATTGTGCTTTTTAAAGCACATCTGTTGCACCGCAGGTAAAGTAAGAAAAAAGGGAAATTGTTTACCTTTTTGTGGCCAAGGATCTGTCTGGAGAAGGCAGCGAGCCCTCTTGGTTAGCAAGAAGTGTGCGTGCAACAATTCCACGCTTGCATCTAGCTCTGGAGCATCCTTTCCCCCCTTCCTTTCTGGCTCTTATATATCCTTGACACCTTTCTCAGCTCTGACATCAGGCAGCACAGGGAGACTGTCGCTAGTTCCAGTGCCTGTAGACAGAAGGTGCCCCGGAGAGGAGCAGAGGCAGGTGGGTCATGGTTGCACTAGTGCATCAGGAGGTATTCACCTGCTCTCTGCAGAATGCCCTGCTGAAGGTGCTGCAGCAGCATCCTGCACATCAGCAGTGTAGCCTCGATTTTACAGCTCTGATGAGCCGCTGAGGTAATATTCCCTGTGGGTGTTTTCCAGGGCTGAATCAGGTAACAAAAGTTACAGAGCAAATGAAACGCCAGGCCACTGGGGATTGAAATGAAGAAAACATGTCAGAAGAGGTGGAAGAGTTAAAATCGTGGAGGTTTGCTGCAGGATATAGAAAGGAAGAAAAGGTGTCTGAAGGGAGAAAAGCTGTGTGACAAATAAGAGTGAAAGTTGTTTAAATTGACAGCTAGAGTTCTCATTCAGGGTAACATGGTAGAAATCATGTACATTTTCCAGTCAGGTCTAAATGTGAATGAAAATTCTGTCACTATGAATGTGAAATCTCATGTTCTACTAACACAGGTGGATTCTTTGTCACGCGTGAAAATTGAGTCAATTAATACTTTTCTGAAGGCAAGGACTCGGAGTAAAAAGCCAGGAAATGTCAGAATAAAACTACCTGTGCAAATTTATTTCTCTAGTATGCATTGAGTATGGTTCAGGGAAAAATGTACAGCTTTTATTAGACTAAATCCAGTGTTAATGAATTACCTAATTGCAGATTTCCAAGGATACAGATTAGAACCATTTATCTCTGATTTCAGTGGAAATTAGACAAATCAATTTTTTTCCTCCTCTGTTTCCTCAGTTTCTGCTAGGTACCCCAATGCCTTTGGAAAACAGACTGTTAATTCTTTATAAAGGACAAGGGTCTGGCACAAGAGCTGAGCAAAACTTCTCTGTGATAAGAAGTTACCATGTGCATCTTTTCTACCCCCAAGAACACAAATTCAGAGCTCAGAGCTGCTTCAGTGCCAAGGGCACTGCCCGAGCTGGGAACCCCCTTCTGTGTTGGTTTAGTCTGTAGTAGCAGATTTTCCTTGCAATGGCTCCAGTTCCAGTGCTGGCTCACTTCAGGCTACTCGAGGTGAATACAGAAGGAGTATTTAGCTGGGATAGTAGCTCCTCCACTTCATTACAACAGTCTGCAAATGAGGCTCTAGAAAGTGACCAAATATTTCGTTGATTGTTGTAGATGTTGCTTTGGGGTTTTTTGTGTGTTGTGGTTGGTTTTTTTAAATTTTTTTAAAAATTTTTTAAGGGTGCTACTGCTGGATATTTTTTTCTCTGTTTTTATACGATCATATACTTCTTTTCACCAGGTTCCTGTTATTTCCTCTCTGGATGGACAGTACCAGTGTAAGAGAAGTAAGTGCAGTATTTTATCTTCACCATGACAGTAAGTTCTGTGCAACATCTGAAACAAGTTTGTCTCTCCAAAGACTCACTGTAGAATTTGACTATGATGAAATAACATTCTGGTGTTAATTTCACTGTGGCAATTTCACTCCTCTGGAATGAAGGCATGATTAAACCCCTTTTACAGTGATTGTATTGTGCTGAAAAACAATTATACAGGTACTCTGCCTGGGGATTGACATCAGCCAATCTTCCCTGCTTGGATATTGAACTTGAAAATGCCTTATTGTGCTTTTTCCTGGGTGGAAAGAGATCTGTGTGCCACTGACACTCAGCAGTGGTCTTTATGCTTAGCCCATGTGAGAGATGTTTCAAATCCTGAAAAGCAATGGATAGATAAGTTTGTGTTTAAGATTTTAAAAGACTGCACTCAATACTCAGAATCTCTTGTTTTAAGGCATCTAAGTGAGTGGTTTCTGTATCAAACTTGAATCAAGCTATGGCTTGAGAGAAATAAAATGAAATATCAATTTTCAAATAAATATTGATCCCAAATTCTAATTGCAGCTGTCCTGCAAAGTAGACTGGGGGGGAGCCACGAATGCTTTGAGGGAAGAACAGAAAGGCAAGAGAGGGCATTGTGGCAGTGAAAGTGGGCTCATGATGTCCCAGGAGCATTGCCAGCCTCCTGGGCTGCACAGCATCTTGGCAGGGTCAGCAAGGAGTCTATCCAGCAATTAGTCACATGTAAAGTTAACAAAAGTAAGGTTTTGCAGCTCCTGCTGCAAGTCCTCTTTAGCAGGAGTAGTGTTTTCCTCCACAAGCAGGAATGGAATATTAAATTGTGGAATGTCTTTGACAGCAGAACAGTTCATAACTCGAATTTCAGGAGGCTGGCACTAAATACTTCACAGGCAGTGCCATTCAAGGATTGGTTGGAAAGCTATTTTTGCCACTGACAAAGTTCCTTAACCTTGATCTTAGGAAAAACCCTTTATTCTTGTGCATGACAGCATTTAGCTGTTGACAACATAGAGTTCTCTGACATGTGTTGTATCAGCCTAAGGAAAAAGAAAAACAAGTGTCCTCATTAAAGAAATCTGTGGTCACTTCTATTCTGAGTAGTAATGGTAATTTTAGGTATTTATACTAAAATATTTAAATCTTCATGCAAAGATTTGCTTAATGAATTGTGCCTATTTGAGGGTGACACCAGAGCTGAGGCTCAGAAACAATCCAAATCCAGAAGACATGTTTTCCCTGTTCCCTGAGTCCTCTGAAAGCTGCCTACACAGTGTCTGGGACTGCAAAATGCTGCCCATGCTCTGCCCTGGCAGCAGAGGAACAGGGAACCAGCCTTGTCCCAGGGGTCTGCTGCTGTCAGGTCCCCCCAGGACGTGTGGGACCTGTGTCACTGAATGCCAGGTGAACAGAGACCACCCCAGTGCCTGTTCCCAGTGCAGGAGTCTAAGCCAGCTCAGATGGGCTGCGCCTCTTTCTCCTTCTTGCCTCCAAAAGCAGCCTTGGGTGACTGGCTCAGGTGCAGGTGCTTACCTGTGGGTGTTGAAATGCAAATGAAATTAATTCCACCAGGGGTGCTTCAACATTCTTATGTGCTCAGTGCCTGGGATTGAAGGTTGTCTCCCTCTTTCTCCCATTTACCTTTTCCTTAGGCTGTTCTGGGCAGCTGGTTCCCCCTTCTAATAGCTGAGTTCTACATCTGCTTAATAACATTAATAAAACACGTTAAGACTCTTGCTCGTGGGTGTGTCTCCCCCATTTGGGAGGGTCAGAGCCACGTTCCCTGGTGCAGGCACTTGCCCAGCTGCTGCCCAGCTGTCTGAGGCAGATGCCTCCAGTAAATCACCCTGTTGCTCAGCTACCAGGAGCTAGAAGTGTGTGAATAACTCGTGGATTAGTTGGCCTGTTGTATTGAAATGGAAAAAGGAAAGGTTTAGTCATTAACCTGCAATTTCAATTTCAACTATTTCAATACTTATTTCAGTTTTTTGAATAAACCAGCAATCAGAACAGCCAGCAGCATTACCATCAGTGTAAACATTCCAGTAATGACACAGAACTGTGCCTGTGTCACAGCTTGTAGCTGTTATGTGAGCTGAGCACAATGTTTAATGCAATTGCTTATAGCAATTTTAGTAGTCTTTCAATCTTTTTAAATTAAAAGTAAAGCAAAAGTAAAGCAAAAAAAAAACCAAAAACAAAACCACCAAAAATAAAGCATGAAAATTAGTTGATTTTAGTAGTCTTTCAATCTTTTTAAATTAAAAGTAAAGCAAAAAAAAAAAACCAACCAAAAAAACCAAACAAACAAAAAAAAAACAAAAAAAAACCCCAAAAATAAAGCATGAAAATTAGTTCACTGATAGTGTCAGCACCTCTGAAAATGTCAAAGTACCCTATATGGCCAAATCTGAAATTGGAAGAGTAAATCAGGTTTTCTGCTGTCATTTTAGAGGTCCTAAAATATCCAGGATTGACATTCATCAACCTGGCTGTCAGGACACTATTGTAACTAGGTGGTCTCTTCCAACCTAGTAATTATGTGAATTCTGTGAGCTAAAAACCATGTGGAACATCAGAGGGAGTGGAAAATCACTCTAGACAAGTGACACTGATAGGAACCGTGATTGTTCCCTAAATTTTTACATCTGGATGGCAAAGTCTGAAAATTTTGGCTATAGTGCTCTTTTCCCAGTGTTTCTTGCTTGGTGCTGTGTTGTTGAGTACTGCAATGTTTGTACTTTCTGGTGTGTGTGGAGTTGTAATTTTCTATTGTTAGCACTTAAGCTGTAACTGCTTTGTTCAAATAGTGTTTTATCAAGTATGCCTTTGCTAGCACAACTTTCTTTGTTACCCCTGTTGCATGTGGGCCATTCCAGTGCTGATAAAAATACAAAGAGCTGTTCCTGTTGGTCCCAAAACTGATGTTAAACCTGAGGAAGAAATATGTAAGAAGCAGCTGAGAGGTAAGAGGTGGAAAGTTACTCATTTCTCCCCCAGAGGAAAAAAAGATGATTCAGAAATAAACAGTGTCCATCCATGGGATTGATGAGCAAATGAAAAGGAGTAATTTGGGTAGACAGGAGTATTTTAAACCGACTTTTGTGATGTATTTTGTTACTCAGCTCACGCCATTGGCAGAGCAATGACGTGGCCTGAAAGGACTCTGGCTAATGATTGCTGTGAGAGTGAGCTCAGCAGCTTGTGCTGAATCAGTGCCTGTGGCTGGGAATCCCTCCAGCAGGGAAATAAACTCCATGTTTGGATCAGAAAAGGCAGAACTGACAGCCCAGTGGCAGGGGAGTTGTAGTTCCTATGCCATTCTTACTTACAGTTTATAGAGTTTTAATTGCATCCCACAATTTACTTTTGAATACAACAGAAGGTTTGACTTGTGGATTTTCTTTTCCCCTGTTTCCAGAAGTTAAAAGCAAAAGCAGGACTCCCTTTTGGTTACCAATGTCACTCTCAAGGGCTCTAAACAGTGCTGATGGTAAATATGAATATGGTATAGAAATACTGTTCTTCCTTTCTGGTAAATTGAGTCATCCATGTCATTCATTGCTTCTTGCTGTGCTAATTCTCCTTGGTCACTTTCTGTAGCAATTAATGTATAAAAAGGTGTTCAGGTTTCCAAGATCTTGCTGGAATGTATACCTGCCACTTCTGCAATAGTACAGGGAGTTCTCTAACGTGTACTTCAAGGCAGAACAAAAAGCCTTGCTGAAAGGAAGGGCAGGGTGAGTATATTGAATCATAGAATTATAGAATGGCCTGGGTTGGAAGAGGCATTAAAATCATCCAATTCCAACCCCCTGTCATGGGCAGGAACATCTTCCACTAGCCCAGGCTGCTCAGAGCCCCATCCAGCCTGGCCTGGAACACTTCCAGGGACTGAGCATCCATAATTTCTTTGGGCACCCTGTGCCAGTGCCTCACCACCCTCCCAGGGAACAATTTCTTCCTAATATCCCATGTCAACCTACTCTGTGTCAGTGTGAAGCCACTCTCCCATGTCCTGGCATTCCATACTTTTGTGAATAATCTCTCTCCATCTTTCTTGTGGGCTCCCTCCAGGCCTCAATTAGGCCACCACACAGCTATTAAATGACAGAATGAAGTCTCCCTAAATGGTCCTGATGGGGGAAAAAGAGAGGAATTAGGCATGTGTGGAAGTGCTGCTTCTGATTTAGTGACTGTGAGAACTCTCCACCCCTTCCTCCCCACCCCAGCATCTTTGATAAAGAGCACAGACACCTGCAGAAGGTGCAGTGGTTCCAGGAACCACCCTCTGTGCTCCCCAGACTTCTTCCACTGCAGGTGAATCACTGGGAAATGCAAAGCAAAGGAAATCAGTCACCTCTTAGAGATACTGCTGGTTTCCAAAAGAATTCCACACAGATTCATGTCAGCCCTCCATACCTGAGGCAGTGCCTAAGTTTTAACAAAGTTTCCTTTTAAACTATCCCACTTTTAAACTATCCCACTTTTTTTTTCCTTCTCTGCAAACTGCTGCAAGAGAATGACAACCTGGCTTTGTCTTGAAACACTCTGAGTCTTTTAGATGATGCTGTCTTGACAGCTCTGCTATTAATAGTGGCATTTTCCCTGCTGTTTCAAAAGGAGCCTTGTGCTGAACTGAGAATCAGTCATGTTGGTAATAATTTTTCACCAAGGGTAGATGCAGTCTGTGAGCTGACGTAGGAGAATTTACGTTGCCAATACCATGAAACATTAATTAACTTATTTATGGCATGGCATCACACGTAGCTGCAAAATAAGATAGCCCTTCTTCAAGCAGAAGTGCAGTAGGGCTGGATTTGCAGCGTGCTTGAATCACTGTGTGTGTGAGTGCAAGACCTGACCTTTTCATTCTGCTCGGGGATGAGAAAAGCCTTTGCCAAGCACAAGGAACATGAAGAGCTACATGGAACTGGCTTTCTGCTGTAAGAAGTCGTTAAAAATTCATTGGAAGTTTAGCATATGCA